TGTGTTCCATCAAAGAGAGCGCTAAGCACTGAAGATCTCTAATTAGCAAGAATACAGTCCCATTCTAGTTACAGTAGCTGGCCTCTTCAGTTCAGCCTTGGTTCTAATAGCCCCTTGTAAATTTGCTATAAAGGCACCACATTTGGTGACACTTTTCATTGGTTGTAATAATGATACTTGCTTTTTTTTCTTAGATAATTCACACTGCTTCCTAGTCTTCATTTTATATACTCCATCTAGTTGCCACCCTTCATCAAGGGAATCACCAAAATCCCTTTGAATCTTTTCCTGCTTCTGACTCCTCCTCTGTTTGATTTCAACATGTTCAACTTTTGTACTACCCTTTATCAGATTCAGAGCTTGGGCTCTAGTATTTATATCTTGTCTTTAGGGATTGGAAATTTGCATTTTTATATACTGATTTTAGAAAGCAGATTTGTTTATTTCAAAGAAATGTGAAGGTTTGGTAGGTGGAGTCTGGGGAACAGTGTTGCAACTTGTGGTACAATAGAACAACAATAAGTTTTCTGCCAGATTTATAAATGTTTCTGATGCCCACTTGCTTCTTCTTGCAATGTTTTTGTATTCCCCACACAATCCCATTAATTGGGCTATTGACTTCCTCAAAAGAGAGAAAGTAATGGGGAAAAATAATGACATGGACATTCGGATGCAATGAGAAGAGTTGGGGGGTAGTTAACATTTTGCCCCCAGACCACTTAAAAAGACTCTGGCTGTATTAAGTATTTGATCTGCCATGATGTTGTTACATTCATTAGCCAGAGACACACAGGGCAATAAACTAGACTTCCTCTGAATTCTGACTTAAAATGTTCAAACCAGTGTGCTGGGGTACACAGCCTGGTTGTTCATCCTTGGCTCCTCCAACTTGCAGGAGCAACTAAACAAATAAGGAACCTCAGTCTGTAGGGTTTTGTTTTGTTTAGTTTAGCATTATGCCTGGACCGGTTTGTTGCTTCTCTAATGAACCAGAGTTACTAGTCAGGAATTGGTTTGTGCTTCAGATTTGTTAAGAGAACAACACACCAATTTTGGACATAACCCTGAGCAAACCTTGGTTTGCTAAGCCCTTTCTTCTGGCAGCAGAAGCAATTGGGAGCAAGTGGTCAGGATGTGATGACGTGTGAATTGGGCACTGTCACTTCATAGCACAGAGTACACTTTTCCTCCTTGATAGGCAAACTTTTTAACCCCATGCAAATTAACGTTCCCCCCCTCCCCAACATATCTACCATGCTCATCAGTCAATATAAATTTTGGTTGTAGTTGGGAGATTATATACAAAACAACTCCACTTCTTTTTTGTTTGTTTGTTTCTGCTGAGATGAATTCTTCACTCAAATTTTTGTGTCAAATATTTTATATCCTTTTTTCTAATATGCATTTCTTGTAAGTAAATTATATCTTGTTTTAATTTTTTTCAAATAATGATTTTTTCTTCTTTTGAGGAGCATTTCCTCCATTTATATTCCACATTAAGCACCTGTAATCCATAATCCATAAAAATTTAGAAAAATCAATACCCATAGCATCTAATTCAGTATCACTCCTTTTACTTTCCTGCTGCACCCGTGGAGGCTTTTGTGTGGTCTAATCTGTCACATTTTTCTAGAAATTCTCTCGCTTTCTGCACAGAATTCAATCGAAACCTCTGCTGTTTGAAAGTAAAAATCACTCCTTCCATTTTGTCCCATCAGAATGGAATATTTTTCTGTTTAATTCCATTAGTCAGAAAGAAGTACTCTTTCCTCTTACACAGTATTCTAATCAGAATTTCTTTAAGCACAATTACGTCTGTATTATCAATCTTCAATCTTGTATTAAAATGCTGCTGCAGAACTTGGTCTCTTATCTTCTTCTTGATAAAATGCACCAGGACATCCCTTGGAACATTTCTTAATTTTGCAAAACTTGTATTTATTCGATAAACTATGTCAATTTCTGTCTCTGTATCCTCTTCATCCTATTCCCAAAAAATTGATAAAGCTTTGATTTTTTTTTAGATTTTTTTTATCCCGCCTTTATTATTTTTATAAATAACTCAGGGTGGCAAACATACCTAATATTTCTTCCTCCTCCTATTTTTCCCACAACAATAACCCTGTGAGTTGAGTTGAGCTGAGAGAGAGTGACTGGCCCAAAGTCACCCACCTGGCATTCATGCCTAAGGCGGGACTAGAACTCACCGTCTCCTGCTTTGTAGCCTAATTACCTTTTCTCTAATGTCTTCACCAGAATCACTGGAATTGCTCTGAATCTCTATCAAAATTCCTTCTCTCTCAACTCCAATAATGCCAGATTAACTAAATCTCTTTCCATCTCTCTATTTATAACTTCTGTCTTACTTTCCAAAATTTCCACTTTGTCATTAATTTGTTTTATATCTCCAGTCACTTATTTACAGAGTTTTCCATCTTCTTAATGTCTTCTTTTGTCTCTTCTTTCATCTTTACAAGTCTTTCATCCATTCTCTCTTCAAAAGCTGCCAATTTAGTATGAAGTGATTCAGACAACTTTTTGCCTAATTCCTCAAACAGTTTCTGAAGCAACTCTGGTGTACTTCCTCTCTCTGCAGGCTGCTCTAATGATCCTCTCTTCCCTTCTCCTGTTTCTGCCGCTTTTCCAGTAGTTGCCATTTTAGTATTGTAATCCAAAAAGGAAAGTGTCTCAGTTATAAGAGGGAAAGTAAAAGTCAGGCTTCCCTTTTTTTTCTGTTTCGTCTGTCTGTGTCCTTAATACTTTTATCCCAAATGGCACTCAGTAGTTATAGTTACCGTCACATATTACCTTTATTTTTAGTTTGTAAAATCCACCAATCGTCTATGCTCTTTAATGCTAAACAAATAACATTTCCATGAAGGTCAGCTCCATTTATCTGTTTAGTTCCAATATTTTCAAAAGCACTTTCACCAAAATTTAATATTTCAAAATTACTGTCCCCTTTATCCATTTTAAACTTTCTAACTTCCAATTCTTGTTACGCTTTTTGCTGAAATCCTTTAAAGCCCTTTCCCCCCTCCTTCTTTAATCCAGAAAGCCTGTTGACTCACCAAGTGGATTTCTTTTATTCTACCCCTCAGAAAATCTCTCTTTAACTGTAGATTGGTTATATTCGATAGTGATTAAGAAAGTGAGGCTTTTGCAAACCTTGTGTCCATATTGGCTGCATTATGGCTGTGAGCTTGATTGAAATCTTTTGACCCCCAGTGGCTCGACTCACAAGTCAGCAGCAAAAACTTCAGTTCCCACAGTCTCATCACAAGAGGCAGCTGTCCAGAGTACAAGAGGGCAATCTCACAATCTGTCCTTGTCAGAAAAGACTGTGCCAGCCAGAATTCACTACCTGGCTGCCAATCTCTGCCACAGTGTCATCCCTGCTCCATCAGGGACATCTAGTCTACCATAGAATCTCACTCAGAAGCCAAATTCTCTTGCATTTTTGAAGATTTAAGTTTTCACTGTTTTCCAGTGGAAGTTACAGGTAGTCCTTGTTTAACAACCACTTGTTCAGTGACTATTCAAAGTTACGATGGTGCTGAACAAGGGGACTTATGATCGTTCCTCGCAGTTGCAGCCACTGCAGATCCCCACAATCACATGATCATGATTCTAGCACTTGGCAACCAGCTCACAATTACAACAGTTGCAGCATCCCACAGTCACATGATTGCCATTTACAACCTTCAGTGCCAGCTTCCAACAAGCAAAGTTAATGGGGAAGCTGGCCGGAGGTCACAAATAGTGATCACATGACTACGGGATGCTGCAACTGCATGGTGTTTGCCTAACGATGGCAGCTGGAATGGCTGCAACTGCCATCGTAAGTCAGTGTGGTCACGTGATATCATGCTTAGCAATGGAGTTGCCAGTCCCAATTACTGTCATTAAGCGAGGACTACCTGTATTACCTGAGATTGTCTGCATGGAGAGCAATTCATGAAGTTGCACTGTAGACTTTTCACAGCTAGTTGGTGTTCACAAATATGTTTTGGTAGCCTTCTGCCTGTTTGTCCTTTCTAGTGGTGTTCATAGTCCTTGCATTTAATTTTGTAAATGACTCCTGTTTTGTCTTCTTTTGTTACTGGGTCTTTGGATTTGCATAGGGTGCTTTGTAGGGACTTCATTGATTCATATGCCACAGTTATTCCAAATGGTTGGAGTAACCTGTTAGGGAATTCCAAAATGTTTTTTTTCTGAGTTGCAATGTTTGCATTGGTGGTGGTTGGGTTGACCTGCACTTCTGATAAAATTGCACAAGTATCCATTGTGTTGAACGTTTATTCTCCATTGTGTTGTAGTTTGTTTCTGCTTTTTGTGATCCCAGTGAGCTGCAGGCTAGTCTGAGTAGGGTTTTTTATGCAGTTCTTGGGTATTGCTGGGTTGATGCTGTCATAAGTTGAGGACATGGTTTGTGTGGGCCGCTTTTAGTGGACTTGGATTTGAAGCCTTTTCTACTGATGAGGCTGTCCCATCAGATGTCCAGAAAATCTGTTGTTCATCACCCACTCACTACTCATGCTGCCCCCCTTTTCCAATAAAAAGTGTTCATTTTCAGCTTTCCTATAGTATTTGCCTCTGCAGTATCTACACAGAAGCTGAAGTTCACTTCCCAGGTCTTCTGTGCTTATTTTAAGGGTTGCAGGTTAATGCACCTGGTAGCTGCAGAGTCAGTGCTGTCATCCTCTTTCAGAAAGGGTAGAAAATGCTTACAGAATCAAATAACTTCCACTTTCAAAAGCTATTTTATTTTTCACGTAAAAAAGTCTTGGCCTTTCTCTTTTCTCAGTTCAGAGGAAGTGGCTGTTTCCTGATTCCTGATGATATTGAACAAATGCAACGTTCAGAATGTCAATTCTTATCATTACAATATTTCCTCCCTTTCCTTTTATGTCAAGACGCGTAAAAAAGTGCAGTTGGAAGTTATTCGTGGTGGACTTCTGCTTTTTCGTTCTGCAGCATGAGGAAGAAGATCCTCCCGAACTGGGTGGAAAAAGCAGAAGTGATGATGACCCAATCTGCCATAAACTGTGCGTTATGCAAATGACAGGGGAAATGTTTTTTCAATAAGATCTTTGACCGCAGTCAAGCCAGCAGGTAGAAAACAAAGGAGAATGCCCTTCTGCAGTAAGGAACAGCATGATAGAGCAGCGCCTAACCATGGGACTGTTCTTCCTTTTCAATCTCTTCCAGACAGGTGAGAGGTTTATATCTGTTTACCCTAAGGGAACATAGCAGCACCAAAGCCATAAACAGGAAGCGTCTTCTGAGTCAATAGTGATAACTCTATAATAAGATGTGACGAGCTAGTCTAAACAAGATTCCAATTAACTATTTTTTGCATTGGTTCCATAGCTTACATTTCTTGTATTTTTGTAATTGTACAGAATGGTATAAAGTTCCATCCAAAATTATTTCATTTCTGTAGACCAATGGGAACAATTTCTTCCCTTCCTTAATGTAATGGTACTAGCAGCGGGGTCAGTAAAGACTCATTAGTGCGCAGATGTAATGGACAGATGTTGGGAGAACATCACTTCAGGAGAAACATTCTTTTTCATTTCCTATTGGCAGCTATGTCCAAGGAGTAATATAGTTTTGATTAAACCAGATCACAAGCAGCTATGGCTTGGTTTTTTAAGGAAAAAGCATAAGAAATTAAAAAGTCTGGATGATTGAAATGAAGAATTTGAATAGCTGGTGTTGATTCTCTATGACTGATCTGGAACTTTAAGGCATTGTTTTAAGCATTGGTATCTGTTCCATCTTGTAAGAGGGTGAACATTGTAGGGAGGAGCAATTTTGCTTGGAAAATAACATTCGGAACCTTCCCTTCTAACAGCCCTCTGATCAACTTGTTAATGAAAACCAAATCCTAACCCTCTAGTATATTGTTCTAGATGAGCTGCACAACTCAAACATTAAAACAAAAACATTTAAAAATTTGAGAACATTTTGAAGATGGCTTTTCACTTGCACTGCTGGCCTAGTTGAGATGTTTGTTCTGATTTTCTGTTACACTTTCATGAGAACAAAGAACTTCTCTTTGGTATGGTCAACCTTTGTTGGCCTCAGGTAGTGCTTTTGGATCTTTTCCATCTCCAGCACTGCAGTTTAGCCAGTCCCACTTCTACTCCACACACTGTTCTTCTTTGTCTTTTTAGGGCTTTGTTCTGTGGTTGTAGTTGTTCTGGGGGGCTATGTCAGCAATGTGACCACAACGTAGTTGAAACGGGTTCTGGATTGTGGCTATCGGGGTGACACTTAGCAGGGTGACTAGTGTGATGGAATGGAATTATGAAGGCCAGCCTCGGGGAGAAAAACTTTTTTTTAGCCCGCCAGACCAGTGTGGGAGGAAAAAGGGGATGAGGCTGGCACCTCCCTGAGGAATTCACACTGTTGTGGCTGGGGGGCTTTGGGGGCTGGGGTTTCAGTCTGGGGAGATTCTTTCTAGAGGTTGTTGCTAACAAAACTAGCTAGAATGAATTGGC